CCCCCCCCCCCCCCCGCCCCCGCCGTCATCCCCACGGTGATCGCTTTGAACTGTGCTCAGATAATACTAACGATTTGAATCTACATTCGGTTATAAATACAGCTGGATGTTGCATGTTTTCTTTATCATTAGCAGGTTTACGTCATGGTGTCACCAACCCCCCCCCCCCCCCCTCCCCCCCCCATCCGTTCGTGTCGGGATTTGTCCACTTTGCTTTAAAAAACTATTTATTTCACTCTAATTAATCATTTAATTAAGTGAAATTATCATTTTTCTGTATATATTTTTCTATTTATTGCTTTGGTGTCACCCCCCTCAAATGGTGTCACCCGGTGCGGTCCGCACCCCTGCCCCATCCCTCGGTACGCCCCTGAGTTGATGTACTAGTTAATGTTTTGCCGCTCATAAAGTGGTACATTGTGCTCAACACGGCTCCCTCGTAATTTCACAAGTATCGTGCACATCTATAATAATAGTTTCGCTGTCTCTCTCTCTATCTATCTATCTATCTATCTATCTATCTATCTATCTATCTGTCTGACAAGAACGCTCTAGAGAAAAGACAAGCAATTTAAAAACATGCACAGTAATTCGAAAAACGAAGTATGACGTCGACACATTTAGCACAGAGTAGAAAATAATCTCAAACCCAGAGAGTGCTCACAGTTATATGACGTCATTGATTTTCGCGTTAACATTGAATAAAAAGGAAATGTTGTCTAATCTTAATGGTTTGCGTGAAGAGTTTCTTGCATACAATTCTTCGGGTAGGGGCGAAGCCCCACCCCCGCGTAAGAACGTCTGAGCCCCCCCCCCCCCCTCCCCAACTCAAAAGAAATTTCCTCATCGATACTCTATAATAAAATTACCGCCTAATTAATGTGTCTAATCTAAAAAGTGGTTTTCTTGCAATATCTTTAATGCAATTCTTCGCGTAGTGGCTATGCGCGACACCAGTGTTTCTTTCAGACTTTTTCCTCCACGGAGAGGGGTGAGGGTACTTGAAATTTTCGGGGGCGGGGGTAGAATTTTCGGGGAGGGGGCGGACACTGGAAAAAGTATATAATTATATTTCGTTGAATGGGACGGTAGACATGTTTTTTTTTTGGGGGGGGGGGGTGGGGGGATGGTGTGTGTGTGGGGGGGGGGGGTGGGGGGGTGTGGGGGGTGGTGTGTGTGGGGGGTGGGGTGGTTTTAGTTTAGACTTTTTCCTCCCCGGAGAGGGGTGGGGGTACTTGAAATTTTCGGGGGCGGGGGTAGAATTTTCGGGGAGGGGGCGGACATTTTCGGGGAGGGGGCGGACACTGTAAAAAGTATATAATTATATTTCGTTGAATGGGACGGTATACATGTTTTTTGGGGTGTGGGGGTGGTGGGGGGTGGGGGGGTGGGGGTGGTGTGTGTGTGGGTGGGGGGTGGTGTGTGTGGGGGTGTGGGGTGGGTGGGGGTGTGGGGGGTGGGGGGTGTGTGGGGGGGTGGTTTTAGTTTAGAGAAAAGAGACAGCACTATCAGCCTAGCGCCCGGTGTATCCTTCCTCAACGGGCCATTTTTCTCGTCTATACTAATAGTTTCGCTGTCTGTCTATCTGACAAGAACGCTCTGTCTGACAAGAACGCTCTGTCTGACAAGAACGCTCTAGAGAAAACACAAGCAAAATAAAAACATGCACAGTAATTCGAAAAACGAAATATGACGTCGACACATTTAGCGTAGAGTAGAACATAATCTCAAACCAGAGAGTGCACACAGTAATGTAATGACGTCATTGATTCTCGCGTAAGTAAACATTGAAAAAAAGGAAATGTTGTCTAATCTAAATGGTTTGCGTGAAGAGTTTCTTGCATACAATTCTTCGGGTAGGGGCGAAGCCCCACCCCCCGCGTAAGAACGTCTGAGCCCCCCCCCCTCCCCAACTCAAAAGAAATTTCCTCATCGATACTCTATAATAAAATTACAGCCTAATTAATGTGTCTAATCTAAAAAGTGGTTTTCTTGCAATGGGACGGTAGACATGTTTTTTTTTGGGGGGGGGGGTTGGGGGGGGGTGGAGGGGTGGGGGGGGGGTGGTGTGTAGGGGTGGGGAGGGGGGTGGGGGGTGGTGTGTGGGGGGGTGGGTTGGTTTCAGTGTTTCTTTCAGACTTTTTCCTCCCGGAGAGGGGTGGGGGTACTTGAAATTTTCGGGGGCGGGGGTAGAATTTTCTGGGAGGGGGCGGACACTGGAAAAAGTATATAATTATATTTTGTTGAATGGGACGGTAGACATGTTTTTTTTGGGGGTGGGGGGTGGTGGAGGGGTGGGGGGGGGGGTGGTGTGTGGGGTGGGGGGGGATGGGGGGTGGGGGGTGGGGGGGGGGTGGGGGTGGTGTGTGGGGGGGGGGTGGGTTGGTTTCAGTGTTTCTTTCAGACTTTTTCCTCCCCGGAGAGGGGTGGGGGTACTTGAAATTTTCGGGGGCGGGGGTAGAATTTTCTGGGAGGGGGCGGACACTGGAAAAAGTATATAATTATATTTCGTTGAATGGGACGGTAGACATGTTTTTTTTGGGGGGTGGGGGGTGGGGGCGGTGTGTGGAGGGGGTGGTGTGTGGGGGTGAGGGGTGGGGGTGGTGGGGGGTGGGGGTGGGGTTGGTGTGTGGGGGTGGGGTGGGGGTGGTGTGTGGGGGGGTGGGTTGGTTTTAGTTTAGAGAAAAGAGACAGCACTATCAGCCTAGCGCCCGTTGTACCCTTCCTCAACGGGCCATTTTTCTCGTCTATAATAATAGTTTCGCTGTCTGTCTATCTGACAAGAACGCTCTGTCTGACAAGAACGCTCAGTCTGACAAGAACGCTCTAGAGAAAACACAAGCAATTTAAAAACATGCACAGTAATTCGAAAAACGAAATATGACGTCGACACATTTAGCGTAGAGTAGAACATAATCTCAAACCAGAGAGTGCACACAGTAATGTAATGACGTCATTGATTCTCGCGTAAGTAAACATTGAAAAAAAGGAAATGTTGTCTAATCTAAATGGTTTGCGTGAAGAGTTTCTTGCATACAATTCTTCGGGTAGGGGCGAAGCCCCACCCCCCGCGTAAGAACGTCTGAGCCCCCCCCCCCCCTCCCCAACTCAAAAGAAATTTCCTCATCGATACTCTATAATAAAATTACCGCCTAATTAATGTGTCTAATCTAAAAAGTGGTTTTCTTGCAATGGGACGGTAGACATGTTTTTTTTTTGGGGGGGTGGGGGGTGGAGGGGGGGGTGTGGGGGGGGGGGGGGGTGGGGGGTGGTCTGTGGGGGGGTGGGTTGGTTTCAGTGTTTCTTTCAGACTTTTTCCTCCCCGGAGAGGGGTGGGGGTACTTGAAATTTTCGGGGGCGGGGGTAGAATTTTCTGGGAGGGGGCGGACACTGGAAAAAGTTTATAATTATATTTCGTTGAATGGGACGGTAGACATGTTTTTTTTGGGGGTGGGGGGTGGTGGAGGGGTGGGGAGGGGTGGTGTGGGGGGGTGGGGGTGGGGGGTGGTGTGTGGGGGGTGGTGTGTGGGGGGGTGGGTTGGTTTCAGTGTTTCTTTCAGACTTTTTCCTCCCCGGAGAGGGGTGGGGGTACTTGAAATTTTCGGGGGCGGGGGTAGAATTTTCTGGGAGGGGGCGGACACTGGAAAAAGTATATAATTATATTTCGTTGAATGGGACGGTAGACATGTTTTTTTTGGGGGGTGGGGGGGTGGGGGCGGTGTGTGGAGGGGGTGGTGTGTGGGGGTGAGGGGTGGGGGTGGTGTGTGGTGGGGGGTGGGGGTGGGGTTGGTGTGTGGGGGTGGGGGGGTGGGGTGGGGGTGGTGTGTGGGGGGGTGGGTTGGTTTTAGTTTAGAGAAAAGAGACAGCACTATCAGCCTAGCGCCCGTTGTACCCTTCCTCAACGGGCCATTTTTCTCGTATAATATAAATACACAAAATATGACACATACTTTCCACCCACTACCCCATATAGTACAAAGAAACATTATTATATTTCCGGTCATTTAAAAACAACACATATTTTGTGAGTGATTGTTAGTTATAAGAGATACGCCTAACTTTACATGATAGCTTTAAAAAAAATCTTAATTAAAAACTACTGAAAATATTTTAAAAGATGGCATCCGTCAAGTTTGAGGAGATGCTTTTATCAATTTTGTTGACACGGATAAAAAAAACCAAACCGTGTTTTTGTCAATTCTTGCCCAAAATGTGAAAAATAAAGCTGAAAGTAAGAAATTTAATGTTTTTAAGAATCACTGTTATAAAAGTTGCAAATGTAGAAAGGAAAATATATTTTTTAGTTTTTAGGGTTCATTTCCGATTATTTACATAAACCCTAAATTTTAGCTTGAGGTTTCTTTACAGTAAGGCAGGCTTTGATTGGCTGTGTAAGTTTCACTGTAGTAAGACACACTTAGTAAGACCGTATCATAGCCCCAGTAGCGTAGCGAGGGGGGAGGGGCGGGGCGGGGGGGGGGGGGGGGGTGGGACATATGTCCCCGGGCGCCGACCTTAGGGGGCGCCAAAATGGGTTGGAAAAATAAATTGAAAGGTTGAGGGGGGTACAAATCGAAAGTTTGTCCCCGGGGGCCGGGAAGGGTCGCTACGCCTCTACATAGCCCCCCCCCCCCCCAGAAAAAAGCCTTGTGAGTGTCCTATGTCAGCCAGTTGTGTCGGCGTATTCACTCAACCAATCTAACATGTATATATGTAGCAACGTCCGAGTAGATAATATTAAAGCAATGTTGTGTAGAACAACTCCTACCCCGCATAACACAATGTAATAACATCGTTTGCCACCTTCAACCCTTGTAATGTTATTTGTGGAATACATATAACTATGTAACAAAATCACGATAATGTATCACAATACACCAAAACATATTTTTGGGATTTTCTGCTATAGACCAACATTCTGTCATAAAATGTCCGTGTTTCAGCCCCCCCCCCCCCCATCCGGTGACGCCCCGACGCCCCGACATGGCGGGGCGCTGCCCCAGGTGCCAGAAGATGTTGACCAGAGCCAGACTTGTCCAGTGTTTGCTGGTGCTGGCTGTCACTGCAGGCGTGTACTGTTGGATGGTGTCTGGGTAAGTTTGGGGTAAGGCGGGGGTAAGTCTGGGGTAAGTGTGTGGTAAGGCGGGGGTAAGGCGGGGGTAAGTCTGGGGTAAGTGTGTGGTAAGGCGGGGGTAAGGCGGGGGTAAGTGTGGGGTAAGTCTGGGGTAAGTCAGGGGTAAGTCTGGGGTAAGTCTGGGGTAAGGCGGGGGGTAAGTCGGGGGTAAGTATGGGGTAAGTGAGGTAAGGCGGGGGTAAGTCTGGGGTAAGTCGGGGGGTAAGTCTGGGGTAAGGCGGGGGTAAGTATGGGGTAAGGCGGGGGTAAGTCGGGGTAAGTCTGGGGTAAGTGTGGGGTAAGTCTGGGGTGAGGCGGGGGTAAGGCGGGGGTAAGTCTGGGGTGAGGCGGGGGTAAGGCGGGGTTAAGGCGGGGGTAAGTCTGGGGTGAGGCGGGGGTAAGTCTGGGGTAAGGCTGGGGTAAGTCTGGGGTAAGGCGGGGATAAGTCTGGGGTAAGGCGGGGGTAAGTCGCGGGTAAGGCGGGGGTAAGGCGGGGGTAAGTTTGGGGTAAGTTTGGGGTAAGTCGGGGGTAAGTCTGGGGTAAGTTTGGGGTAAGGCGGGGGTAAGTCGGGGTAAGTCTGGGGTAAGTGTGGGGTAAGTCTGGGGTGAGGCGGGGGTAAGGCGGGGGTAAGTCTGGGGTGAGGCGGGGGTAAGGCGGGGTTAAGGCGGGGGTAAGTCTGGGGTGAGGCGGGGGTAAGTCTGGGGTAAGGCTGGGGTAAGTCTGGGGTAAGGCGGGGATAAGTCTGGGGTAAGGCTGGGGTAAGTCTGGGGTAAGTCTGGGGTAAATCTGGGGTGAGGCGGGGGTAAGTCTGGGGTGAGGCGGGGGTAAGGCGGGGTTAAGGCGGGGGTACGTCTGGGGTGAGGCGGGGGTAAGTCTGGGGTAAGGCTGGGGTATGTCTGGGGTAAGGCGGGGATAAGTCTGGGGTAAGGCGGGGGTAAGTCTGGGGTAAGGCGGGGGTAAGTCTGGGGTAAGGCGGGGGTAAGTCTGGGCTAGTCTGCGGTAACTGCTGGATAAGTTTGGGTTAGCTGCGGGGTAACTTTGGGGTAAGCCTGGGGAAATTCTGGGGTAAGAGGGAAAAGGTATGGGGTAAGTCTGGGGTAAATGCTGGTAAATGCTGGATGATGCCAGGGTAACTATGTGATAAGGGGTGGATGGTTTATGGGTAAGTCTTGGGTAAAAAATATCCATGCATATAAAAATTAGTGCTAAAAATAATAAGCACACAAAAAGTGAGGGCACAATAGATGTGTTATAAATTCCAAGATAAAAAGATTACCAATCGTCTTGACAACAGTGACTCACATATTTGGATCTGTTATAGGTCTGTAATGAAATCCACACCTATTTGATAACAGTAGTGATAGTGATGCTGATACATTTATGGTAAAGTGAATTTAATTCTTAGAGGTAACAGCAGGATTGTTAATCTTAGGGGTAAAAGGAACATGTGTTACATAAGCGGATGCAATATTAGGTGCTTTGAGGGTTCGCTTTTAAGCGACCCCACTCTCATACAGACTGGGGTACGTGTAGTCTCACTAGAGAACCGCTGGGTGGGAGGGCGTGGGGGTTAAAAGGAACCTTTAACACAGGACTGAACCCACCCTCACACAGACTGGGGTACGTCTAATCTCACTAGAGAACCGCTGGATATGAGATAGGCGTGGAGGTTAAAAGGAACCTTTAACAGAGGACGTGGTTTCAGATCAATCTTTTTGCATAATTTAGGAGCCAGTGCTTTTCTGACACGGCGTTGGGTTGTCTGCGACAGAAAGGTCAGGCAGACATACAGGCAGACTGGCGACTGGCTCATAGGCTCTTGGGCTCAGGCTCATAGGCTCTAGAGCTCTAAGGCTCTCGGCTCATAGGCTCACGGCTCCTAGGCTCTTGGGCTCAGGCTCCTAGGCTCTTGGGCTCAGGCTCATAGGCTCTAAGGCTTTCGGCTCATAGGCTCCCGGCTCATAGGCTCCCGGCTCCTAGGCTCTTGGGCTCAGGCTCCTAGGCTTTTGGGCTCAGGCTCATAGGCTCTAGGGCTCTAAGTCTCTCGGCTCATAGGCTCATAGGCTCTAAGCTCCTAGGCTCTAGGCTCATAGGCTCTTGGTTCATAGGCTCTTGGCTCCAAGTTTTTGGCGGTTCGACTTACGGCTCCTATGCTTTCGGCTGACAGTCGTTGAACTCTTTGTTTTCGGCTCTTATTTTTGGCCCTCGGGATTTTAGCTCCAAGGCGTTTGGCTCCTAGATTTTTGGCTCCAAGGCTTTAGATTCTAAGCATATGACCTTTTAATTTCAAGGGTTTTTTTTAACTTCAAAGCATTAAGCTCCTAGATTTTTAGCTTCAGGCTTTTAGCTCCAAATCTTATTGTTCCCAGTTCTTTTGACTCATAGGATTGTGGCTTCAAATTTTTGTCCCCAGACTATTGATTACTAGAGTTTTAGTTTCTAAATATTTACTCTATTTATAGTTGATATGTTACTAGTTTACCAACGCACTAACTCTGTCCTATAAGCGTTATCTGAAAGCGTATTTTATTTAATAAAATATTATTGTTATTTTTTTAAAAGTGAATATTATATTTGTTTATACTTCAAAAAAAAAAAAACAAAAAAAAAAAACAAACGAGAAAACACATCTGAGTGCTTGTATATTCAATTAAGAAACTATAACAAACTTAACGTTGCATTCAACTGATGTAAAAATGTTATAGTTCTGGTTTTTTAAGTTTCTTTTACTCAACTTTTGTTTACAGGTCAATGACCGCAGCTATTCAAAGTTCTCTTAACATCTCAGACATCAGGGCGAGGTTTTCCTTATTTCCTGGGTCACTGCACTATGCGAGGTCAAACCATCCGGGATCAGCAGCGGTGACGAAGGTCATGTACCCAGGGTCACTAGAGGTCAACTATCAGAGGTCAACGGATGTCAAGTTTCCTGTGGATGTCTTCTCTGCGACACGACGAGACGAAAACAAATCCAATTTATCGGAGCAGACGAGAGCGCACTCAGGCGTGACCAATCTGTCGTCTGCTGGGTGTGGTGTGAGCCCCACCCCACCCGCCCCACTTTACATAATTGTGCTGGAGAGGACGCTGGTGGGGAGGCTGGGGAATCACATGTTTATGTACGCCTCCCTACTGGGGATGGCTAGGGCGTGGGGTAGGAGGCCGGTCATAGAGAACAGCAGGGAGCTGACAAGGACGTTTGAGATACAGCACTGGGATAGTGGGATTAACAGTACAGGGTGAGTGGGATAGTGGGATAATGGGATCAACAGTACAGGGTGAGTGGGATAGTGGGATTAACAGTACAGGGTGAGTGGGATAGTGGGATAGTGGGATCAACAGTACAGGGTGAGTGGGATAGTGGGATAATGGGATCAACAGTACAGGGTGAGTGGGATAGTGGGATAATGGGATAGTGGGATAATGGGATAGTGGGATAGTGGGATCAACAGTACAGGGTGAGTGGGATAGTGGGATCAACAGTACAGGGTGAGTGGGATAGTGGGATCAACAGTACAGGGTGAGTGGGATAGTGGGATAATGGGATAGTGGGATAATGGGATAGTGGGATCAACAGTACAGGGTGAGTGGGATAGTGGGATCAACAGTACAGGGTGAGTGGGATAGTGGGATCAACAGTACAGGGTGAGTGGGATAGTGGGATAGTGGGATCAATAGTACAGGGTGAGTGGGATAGTAGGATCAACAGTACAGGGTGAGTGGGATAGTGGGATAGTGGGATTAACAGTACAGGGTGAGTGGGATAGTGGGATAGTGGGATCAACAGTACAGGATGAGTCGGATAGTGGGATAATGGGATAGTGGGATAGTGGGATCAATAGTACAGCCAAAGTGGGATAGTGGGATTAACAGTACAGGGTGAGTGGGATAGTGGGATCAACAGTACAGGGTGACTGGGATAGTGGGATCAACAGTACAGGGTGAGTGGGATAGTGGGATAGTGGGATCAACAGTACAGGGTGACTGGGATAGTGGGATCAACAGTACAGGGTGAGTGGGATAGTGGGATCAACAGTACAGGGTGAGAGGGATAGTGGGATTAACAGTACAGGGTGAGTGGGATAGTGGGATCAACAGTACAGGGTGAGTGGGATAGTGGGATCAACAGTACGGGGTGAGTGGGATAGTGGGATAGTGGGATTAACAGTACAGGGTGAGTGGGATAGTGGGATCAACAGTACAGGGTGAGTGGGATAGTGGGATCAACAGTACAGGGTGAGTGGGATAGTGGGATGGTGGGATAGTGGGGTGGTGGGATAGTGGGATAGTGGGATAGTGGGATCAACAGTACAGGGTGAGTGGGATAGTGGGATAGTGGGATCAACAGTACAGGGTGAGTGGGATAGTGGGATCAACAGTACAGGGTGAGTGGGATAGTGGGATCAACAGCACAGGGTGAGTGGGATAGTGGGATAATGGTTAAGTGGGATAGTGGGATTAACAGTACAGGGTGAGTGGGATAGTGGGATCAACAGTACAGGGTGAGTGGGATAGTGGGATGGTGGGATAGTGGGGTGGTGGGATAGTGGGATAGTGGGATAGTGGGATCAACAGTACAGGGTGAGTGGGATAGTGGGATAGTGGGATCAACAGTACAGGGTGAGTGGGATAGTGGGATCAACAGTACAGGGTGAGTGGGATAGTGGGATAGTGGGGTGGTGGGATAGTGGGATTAACAGTACAGGGTGAGTGGGATAGTGGGAAAATGGGATAGTGGGATCATGGGATAGTGGGAACAACAGTACAGGGTGAGTGGGATAGTGGGATAATGCAATAATGGGATAGTGGGATCAACAGTACAGGGTGAGTGGGATAGTGGGATCAACAGTACAGGGTGAGTGGGATAGTGGGATAGTGGGGTGGTGGGATAGTGGGATTAACAGTACAGGGTGAGTGGGATAGTGGGATAATGGGATAGTGGGATCATGGGATAGTGGGATCAACAGTACAGGGTGAGTGGGATAATGGGATAGTGGGGTGGTGGGATAGTGGGATAGTGGGATTAACAGTACAGGGTGAGTGGGATAGTGGGATAATGGGATAGTGGGATCAACAGTACAGGGTGAGTGGGATTTTGGGATCAACAGTACAGGGTGAGTGGGATAATGGGATAGTGGGATAGTGGGATCAACAGTACAGGGTGAGTGGGATAGTGGGATCAACAGTACAGGGTGAGTGGGATAGTGGGATTAACAGTACAGGGTGAGTGGGATAGTGGGATAGTGGGATGGTGGGATCAACAGTACAGGGTGAGTGGGATAATGGGATAGTGGGATAGTGGGATTAACAGTACAGGGTGAGTGGGATAGTGGGATAGTGGGATAGTGGGATCAACAGTACAGGGTGAGTGGGATAGTGGGATCAACAGTACAGGGTGAGTGGGATAGTGGGATTAACAGTACAGGGTGAGTGGGATAGTGGGATCAACAGTACAGGGTGAGTGGGATAGTGGGATCAACAGTACAGGGTGAGTGGGATAGTGGGATAATGGGATAGTGGGATAGTGGGATCAACAGTACATGGTGAGTGGGATAGTGGGATTAACAGTACAGGGTGAGTGGGATAGTGGGATAGTGGGATAAAAAATACAGGGTGAGTGGGATAGTGGGATCAACAGTACAGGGTGAGTGGGATAGTAGGATTACAGTAAGATAGTACAGTAAGCCAGTTAGATGAAAATTTTAAAAAAATGTGACACCAAACCTGACGTCATATCCGTCTTTGTTACAGCTGGGACAACGTGACCTTCGACGGTTTCGCCATCTACGACAAGGCTCGACTCACGAACCTACCGTCTGCCAATCTCAGCCTCGTCGGTTTCCTGCAGTCCTGGAAATATTTCCGGCACATCGAGGACGAGATTCGACGAGAGTTCACCTTCCGGAAGTTCATCGCTGACGCGGCTGACGTCACGATGCTCAAGCTACGTCACCGCTACCCAGGTCACGTGTTTGTGGGGGTCCACGTTCGGCGTGGCGACTTTTTAATCCTGAAAAAATCCGGGTTTACCGTCCCGGAAGCGAGTTATTTCCTGAAGGCTTTTGATCTGTTCCGGAAGATAATTCCGGATCCGGTTTTATTTTTAGTAGCCAGCGACGATTTGAGGTGGTGTAGGAAGAATCTAAAAGCGACGGGCGTGAAGGTTTTGAGAAATGCATCGCGGGCGGTGCATCTGGCGGTCCTGGCCAGGTGCCAGCACACGGTGCTGTCTGGTGGGACGTTTGGCTGGTGGGCTGCCTGGTTGGCCAACGGGATCACCGTGTATTTCAGAGGGTACCCGCGGGAGAACTCCTCCCTGGCCGAGGGGTTCAGCAAGGGCGACTACTACCCGCCATCTTGGATTGGGTTGGACAACTGAGGTTTGAGAAACCGCTGGCGGTTTTAAATTTTTTTAGAAGGTTGAGAGATCATCAATGTCAAGGTCACGGTGAGCGATGTCTCGACCTTTGTTTACATTCAACCGAGGTCAGTATTGACGTGATCTTGGTTAGCGTGGATGTTACACAAGGGAGGTAACATAAGATATGGGTACAGTCAAGATTTTTACCCGTTGCTGTGTTTCTCACGGTAGGGCAGCTAGGCGAAGTAGAGTACGGCTGTTGAGCTGAGGGTCTGACGCGGGATGTCGCCTGTGTCAAAGACCAGTGACCCTAACGCCACAGAAAGAAGCACATCCGGTTATATCAAATTACTACAGAAACTGTTTCATGACACTAACAACATAAAAAAATAAAAAATAAAAACTAAAACAAAAAAATTCTTGGATGAATAAATATAAAGAAACGGAATTTGATAGCTGAAAAATTAACGCTTGAAGTCAATAGGGGAAAAAAATCAGCCACAAACTATTCCGTTTGTTGTATACACGGTAGGCTGTCCCTTACTATCAGGTATTCTACTGGTCAGTTTCAAGTAGTTAAAGCATGACCATGCTGGTAAATGTAGAGCCCCACCTAATGACAGCAAACTGGACATTGATGTAGGTCAGTCTGACAACAGAGGCTACACAGTGACATAGAAAATATAGACAACTTATTTAACTCTGATTGCCAATTAGTAATGTTTTAGATAATTTGAAAAATAATAATTATATATAATAATACTTCTTGTTTGTTTTTTTAACATATTTTTTTTCTCGTGCTCGTTAATTATAATTGACTATAAAAGACTAATAATTAAAATGACGTAGATCTAATATTAAAGATAAAAAACAACCTAAAAGAAAACACATGAACGTCACGAGTCCACCCAGCTCTAATACGTACCCGACAACTGACAGAATTGCTAAGTCCAGTTTTTACGACTCGATAACGCATAAAACGCCAAAATGTTTATATATTTGTATTTATAATTTTTGCCTGATTAAAATAAGTCCTCTATACTCCGGATGTGATGAAGGACTGAGGAGTAAAACGGTGAAAACTGTCAAAATTTCATGTTATTTTTGTGCACGATTACAATACTTTCTGTATACTTCGTATATAGGAGAAAGTAAAAAAGGATCAACAATTCAAATGATTAACAGGTGAATATTGGGTGTTGTTTCTAGTGTTGATAATTGACAATGGTTGGTCCAGTGACTGTCCGAGCCGCACACCTGACAGGCTTGGCGTCTTCCTGGCAGTGCGATGAGGATATTACGTGTTGTGTCTTTGTATGTAATTTTGATGTAGTGTGGGATGTGTTGTGGGTTGTCGTTCTGGATGGTGAATCTGCGGTTGTTTGTGTGCGGGATTGTGGTTATTGTAGATGTAGAGTTGCTGATTGTTTGCAGTGCTTTAATCAGTGTTTCGTTGCTCAGAGCGGGCGGGACCCATCTAAGGGTTCCGATTATTTTGTCCTTGTAGTATCTGTCGAAATTCAAAGTGTATGGGCCGTGTGTTTTGGTGGTGCCGTCCAGATCCGCTGCGTCAAACTCGTTGGACGAGAAGTACCAGGTATCCCCTCGTCCATAGTTGAGAAGCAGGATCTGGTGTGGGCTTATGATGTTGCGCAAGAGGTGACCAGGGATGTTCTGGTGATTTCTTGATTTGATGGTAACTTGCATTACTGTAGGCGAGTCGAAAAGCTCAGGAGCTATTTCATCAGACTGGTCGATGGTGATTGTTGTCATGATCTCTAAAAGGGATTGGGCCCAGGATTTCATTAAGCCACCCGAACCGTAGTCCGGGTGGCTCCTCTCCCTGGCTCTCGACCAAGAGGGAATTTCCAAGGGCGCAGCCCCTTTGCTGCCGCTGACAATTTTTGCGAATGTCGTCTGAAAGGATGACATAGGTCAGGGGTCGGCAACCTGCGGCTCGCGAGCCGCATGCGGCTCTTTTGATATCAAGATGCGGCTCTCTAGCTCCTTGCACAAATACTAATAATCTTAATAAAAAAATAAAATATTTGAAATAAAAAAATGTTAGTGGCTCTTTAAAACCAGGGAAATTTTGAAAATTGTAACTTTTGGTTCTTCCGCTTCAAAAGGTTGCCGACCCCTGACATAGGTGAAATTGAGGTTAAGTTATCGCTTGATCTTAACCAAAAGGCGAAAGATGTACTCGATGTGAAGAGAAACCAGAGTTGAAAATATTGTCCTATAAAAGAATTGATTACCAACTAGATTAGCTAATAATATGAACTCGATTTGATAATAGGTCAACAACTTATAAAAAAAGTTGTTTCCATATTTCCCTAGCCTGTAATTTAAATAATTATTTCTAACCTCTGCTAGCGTAGAAAACTTTTGGGTCTTAAACAGGTTTTTCAGGCAATCTTTTTGAAGAAAAATGTCAGAAAGAAACTCTGTTCTTAAACAGTAAAAGGATTGCCTGATTTTAGCAATTTAAACTGGATTACGTCCCTTGTTATAATAACTTTTTCTTGTAATAAAAATAGATTTGTGTCCCTTGGTAGAATGTTGATTAAAAAGAGTAACTGTCACAATGAAATGTTTTAATTTAAAAATATGACGCTGGCTGTCTGGTGATTAAAATCAATAAATGTATTGATTGGTTTAATTAAACAGTTATAGATAAATATGAGTGGGGTGTGTGTAGGTGAGGAGATGTGTGTGTGTATGTATGTGTGAGGAGGATGTTTGTGGAGTGTGGTGTCATTTTAGTGAGCGTGTGTGTATGGGGGAGGGGGTTGAGGAGGGGAAGAATCGACAACTGAAAGAAAAGAATAGCACGAGAAACGTTGTGACGTGTTAGATCAAATCAACCGCTGACACGAGCATTCGAGTTGATGTTGGGAGATAATGCTGCAGAAGTTTCTTTCGTTAGCTTAGGTCGAGGGATGGGTGGGGAAGGGGGCGGGAGGTTCAGAGGCGTAGCGAGGGGTGGGGGGGTGGTGGGGGGTACATATGTTCAAGGACGCCGACCTTAGGGGGCGCCAAAATGGGTTAGTAAAAACATTAAAATCTCATTTTAGCTGCAGTTTTGCGTTATAAATATAAAAAAAAATATATGGGGGGGGGGGGGGAAGGGGGGTGTAAATTGAAAGTTTGAGGGGAGGGGGGGGGGTGCAAATGGAACATCGAAAGGTTATTCCCGAGGGGGGCGCCAAATTGAAAGTTTGTCCCCGGGCGCCGGAAGTGTCGCTACGCCTCTGGGGGGGGGGGAGTTAGAGACTTTCATTGTCTGTATCTGCGGTCAGGTAGATAATTCGTCTTTGTCGTTATAGAAATATTAACAGAGCAATCGCCCCAATTTATGCCAGGTACTAAGATGAGCTGAGCAAGACCCGGGTGTTTGCGTTGATTAGCTCTTTACACGGGTCAGAACTCGAGTTGATTAGCTCCTTACACGGGTCAGAACATGAGACAAACGCGAGCCTAAAACCGTTCAGTGATTTATTTAGAAAACGTTGTGAAACATTTGAATATGAATTACTTAATATGATGGTCGGATCCCACATTTGAGTGGACAAATCCAAAAGTATAATGGACGAGTAGTGGACGAATGTCATACTATAATGGACAAATAGTGGACAAATCCCAAAACATAATGGACGAATAGTGGACGAATGTCAAACTATGATGGACAAATATTGGACACATCCCAAAGTATAATGGACGAGTAGTGGACGAATGTCAAGCTATAATGGACAAATATTGGACACATCCCAAAGTATAATGGACGAGTTGTGGACGAATGTCAAACTATAATGGACAAATATTGGACAAATCCGAAAGTATAATGGACGAATAGTGGACGAATGTCAAACTATAATGGACAAAAAGTGGACAAATCCCAAAGTATAATGGACGAGTTGTGGACGAATGTCAAGCTATAATGGACAAATATTGGACACATCCCAAATTATAATGGACGAGTTGTGGACGAATGTCAAGCTATAATGGACAAATATTGGACACATCCCAAAGTATAATGGACGAGTTGTGGACGAATGTCAAACTATAATGGACAAATATTGGACGGATAGTGGACAAATCCAAAAGTATAATGGACGAATAATGGACAAATCCCAACATACAATAAACAAATAGTGGATGCACCCTCACCCTATAGTGGACGAACCTTCACAACAAACGACGAAGCAACTCTAAAGACAAATGAACTGCAGAGAAAACCGGCTAAAAATAAAACAAAACACAAGAAGCCCGGATGTAAAGAAAATCAAACTGTCGACTGGCCGTGCCGCATGACTGAGTTCAGATCAATAACTGTGACCGCCTCTGAACGACTGTCGCCAGAATCAATCTATACCTAGATCGAAGGTTCGGCGATTGGTTTTTTCAAGCTTTGTGTAAGAAACGTTGCTTGTTTTCTATCTAATGTTAACCAGCCGTTTTCTTGGGGCGAATGGAGAAAACAAGGCCGTGCGCAGAAAGTCGTGACGTCACGGTGATGTAGAGCGCAGATACGGAGGAGGTCGATGTGCTTCGTGTGTTGTGACGTTTGTGTTGTGATAAATGTGTGCAAAATTGTTTCGGTAACAAATTAACAATTCATTAGAAATTTTTTTTTTGTCATAAGGTTAATGATAATGATTTCTATCTGCTAAAGTTAGTATGCCATATTCTATTATACAACAACACTATGATAATATAATTAAAATCATTTAGTTTTCAAAGCTTTTTGTTAAATTACTAGATAATTAGTTATGAGTTGACAATGACGTAAAACCTGAGCAGTAATTAGGTTAAGGTGTAATTAAAAGTCGGTGTTTCCGTCATTGTGGTAAGAATGAGATGGGAGAGAACACCACCACCAACAATGATGGTACGTAGAGTGAGCAACAACTGACAGTGATGGTACGTAAAGACAGCAACAACCAACTATGATGATACGAGCTGGTAGCTGTTGAAGTTGGACCACGGACACACAAATAGAAGGTTCAGATTTTGTATAGTTATGTTTTTGTTCTATGTGATGTAGTATGGTGTTATTTCTTAATTTGCGAATTTATTAGTATGTGCTATTTCTTAACTAACGAATTTATTGTATGGTGCTTTTTCAATAATTAACGAGTTTATTTCATAGTGCTATTTCTTAATTAACGAATTTATTCCACGGCACTATATCTTAATTTACGAGCTTATTCTATGGTGCTATTTCTTAATTAAAGAATTTTTTGAATAGCGCTATTTTTAAATTAACGAATTTATTAAATGGCACTATTTCGTAATTAACTAATTGTGAACATTGTCGTAATTGATCGCATGTAGTTTGGATCACATTTTGAATCAATTTTAACAAGTCACAAATATTTTGGAAATCAAATGGCTTTTGAAATGATTAAAGAAAGCCTTTGAAAAATTAGATTTTGTAGCAGTTTTTTTTTTACTCGAAGAGATTTGAACTCGAGAAATGCTATTATATGGTAACGGAGATTTAAACTCAAGAAATGCTATTGTATGGTAACGATTAGCCCCTCGTTGCTAATATCATCACCACGCTCATTACGGTGATCTCCAAAGTTCTCAGTCCTGGGAAATTTTCTGTATGAGCTGGATGAAGTTGGC